ACTCACTCACTCTACTCATTCACTCTACTCACTCACTCACTCTACTCATTCACTCTACTCACTCACTCACTCACTCTACTCACTCACTCACTCACAGACATCTCCTAAACTTTAATCTTCTCTATGTACATTATCAAATAAAATCTCACTTGAGTATCTTTTAAAGAAAATTCCATTAATTATTTAAGTTAGTTTAAGGTAATTATTTTTGAGTATAAGACTAATTCTTAGCCTTCACAATTTTGACAAGAAATTTTCTTAGGAAAATTCTAGTAGTAAGCCAAGTCTATATTTGAATAGGAAGATCACTTTTAAAACCAAAATTCATTTCTCCCTAGACTGTGTTGGCCTTCAACATGGCTAAACTCTAAGACAATAACAACGATGAAAGCTCAAACTCAATGCTCGTATCTTCCTTAGTGACCCTTTGTATCAAGTATAGACTGAATTACATCAGCCTCTTCTGGGCAATACAAACTGTAACAAATGTTCTAATGTTTACATCAGTGGTCTTTCAAAGATACTCATGAATTGAACTTCAGCAACTTCTGATTCATATATAAAGTTGTGTGACTCAGTATAAATATCCATTGCTAATTTACATTAAACATTTATTTAAACTACACACGATAGGCTCGCAGCACAACTTTGTTGAGGGAGTGTATTTTCGGTTTCCACCAAGAATAAAAGAAGCAAAGGTAGTTTATATAGATGGTAGCTTAGGCTAAAGTAGCTATGAAAACTCATGAGCAGGAAGGACTTCGTATCATCGACCCCCTCTCCCTCTTAAGTTTTATCCCTTAGTACTCCCTTCTTCGCTGGTCTCCAGCCTTCTTTCAAAACCCCAAACAAACCAAGTCTTTTTGTTCTTGGAGGCTTCTCAGAGATGGCACTTGCCAGGCAAACACTTCCTCCAGCAATCTATGTTCCTTCCCATCCTTTGAGTTTTGAGATTACAGTGTATTCTCTAATCGTCTCCACTAGAGCATGTTGTCCTCCACTCTGCAGGCTCCATCTCCTTATTCCCACTACAGCATCCTTTTATCTCTTCATGGTACTAATCACAATTTGCATATAGCTTTCTTTTACTGAAGTGATTTTTTACAAATATATACGTAACCACAGTCTAACGATCTGCTCATGCTACAGTAATTGTAATAGAAAACCAGTGGTACTCCACCCAAACCAGCTTTTTACACTGAGCCCCATGTCAAGTGTTTTACTTGGGGTTCTCCTGATTTCTACTTGCATATGAGAAGGATTCAAAGCTTCAAAAATGTGTAGAATGAAAAAACTAAAATTTAAATTTTAAATTTTAAATTTTTTGCATGAAAATAAACTTGCACTGCCATGATTCGGTGCCCATGAGTTTGGTTTACCATAACATGCCTGAAAAGGATTTATGGTCGCTGGAGGCACTAAGGGTAAGACATCAGTCTGGTCAGGTGCAATTAGCGAAACATGAATTCTGTAAAATTGAAGCAGGCCGAAACAGCAAATCATGGAGAAGCTTGGGTGGAAAAGTGGAGAAATTCTTGGTATATTATGAAAAGCTTATGGGGAAATGTCCCAAAGAAATCCACAGTTGACAAAGGAAAACATAAGTTTTATGGAAAATATGAGGATGTTAAAAACAAAGTCCCAAGTAGCATACCATTCACATCAACTTGCAAGGAAATACTTTATCTTGTCTGTGCCCCAGGCTCTCTAATCCCATTATGAATTAACAGTCTAGGATAAATCAGATAAACTTCTGAGTATTAATTCACGAATAGCTCATATAAACAGTTTCAGAAACCCACATGGGCTGTTCTACCCTGCCTTATAGTGTCCCTATAAGTCAGAACCAACCCCACAACAGTTAGTTTTGTGTGTGTGTGTGTGTGTGTGTGCCCTGATTGAAAAGAAGTGATAATTAATGGCAGATATATTGTTAGACTCCATAAACCCTAAAACATTTTCAAGACCAACATCTCGACTAGTTCAGCTAACACAATTTTCATTGAAACTTTCTTCTCAATAGGTGCCAACACTACCAGACCAGCGGCATATGGAAATTCTATGGAAATTTTAAACAAATGAGATCCATATCCTGAAGCATTTCTTGCAAGAGTTGTCATAGGCAATGAAACATGATTTTACCAGTCTGACCCTGAAGACAAAACACAATCGATGTCATGGTCATGGCCCAGTCAAAGACAAGTAGTTAAAAGCAAAGCTCATGGAAACAGATTTTTTTTTTAAATGATCAGGGCATTTTGCATGTTGACTTTCTTGATGGTCAGATACTAATAATTTATATGAGAATATTTTGAGAACTTTAGCCAAGGTTTTAGGCAAGGAAAGCTTCAGCAGGATTCTTCTTCACTGTGACAACGCTCTTGTTCATTCCTCTCATCAAAGAGGGCAATTCGGTGAGAGTTTCCAAGGGAATCATTGGGCATCCGCTTTACACTTCTGGTTTGGCTCCTTCTGACTTCTTTTTGTTTCCTGCTCTTAAAAAACACTGTGCAGGACATCTACTTCCCCCCAGTCAATAATGTAAAAAAGACTGCATCGACACCGTGAAATTCCCAGGACTTCCCCTCATGCAGAGGCGGACTAAATAGCTGCAATGATCACTTCTACAGTGTCTTGAACTTGTATTGAGGAAAAGGTTTAAAATCTTTAGTTTTCACTTTTAATTCCACTTTCAAACATGCACTGAATTCTCCTTATGTTTCTAAGTAGTGTGATTAGACTATGATTTTTATTATAAATTTTACATAGCAGAAATAAATAAACATTCCTCAGCCAATATTCATGTTTTCATCGTGCTGATCTTGCCTTGTTCGTTTGTAACTTCCATAAAAGCCAAACCACCATCTGGCTTTCTGTAGGCATGCTATCACATTCAAAGATGATCTACCGCCCAAAATAACTGTCACATTGTTTGTTCATGCACCTTTGGACCTATGCAAAATGTTCCCAAAGATTCCAGGTGAATTATACAACCACAACTGTGTGATTTTCCAGTGCCATGTGAGCTGCCTAGTTCATTTCTTTCTATGAGAAATTTCTCCTTGGGCTCTCCCTCCACTCGCACGATCTAACAGACACTGTTTACTTTCAAAACTTGTATTTTTGGTCTAGAACGGACGGCTCTTTGATTTTCCTGTTTGCTCCCATTTCCTGGATTCTGTCGCTCCCTCTTTCTTGGTTTATCAGTTCATCCTTTGGCGTCATGTAGAGTGAGAACATTGATATGAAAATGTCTTAGTTTCTCCCTAACCACCCAGAGTTGGGGACTGGGCATAGGGTTCTAGATGACAAATTATTTTTCCTCTGAAATACTAAAGCACTGCTCCTTTTTATTCTCATTTCCAATTCCAGATTTTCTCTTCTTATCTGACCTAATATTTTTCTCTTTGGTAATTTTCGGATTTCCCCTGGATTCTCTGTATTGGAAACTTCATGAGAATGTGCCTCCTCATTATGTCCTGTGCACTGTACCTCCATTTTGTCCTGCAATCTTTAATTCAGAGCCATTGTCTTTCAGTTCTAAGATTATATATAGATAGATACGTTAATTATTGTCCTGTTTTCTCTTTCCAGGGCTCCTATAATTTGATTGTTTTATATCTTATGCCAGTTGCCCAACTCTCCGTCTTTTACATTCTCATTCACTTTCTCATTGTCTTTGACTTTCTGGGAGATTTACTCAGCTTTATTTAATTATTTGTATTCTGGTTACTCCTTCTATAAGACAAACATCCAGGTCATTTCAATGGATGTGGCTGAAGTGTATGAGATTGAAATCTTCTCATTTCTAAGGATAAAAATTATGAGTGGGTATATACATATATAATTTATTTTTTCTGTTCTCTTAAGAAAACAGAAAGTCTCTGCTTTCGTCAGGTTTCTCTTTCTCATTTATTTTATTTGGTCTGTAGTCCAAGGCTTTCTAGAAACGTCTGGTTATCCCATGTTCTCTGTTCATATTTAAGAAATCAACACCCAAGAACTGACGGAGTTTTTGCGTGTGGTCTCCAAGGCTAGGTAGCACTGACATGTTAGAATTGACATTTCTGTTACTGTCATTATTTTGTTTGTTTGGCTTTTTTTTTAAACTAAGAGGTCATTTGTTTTATTTAAGAAAACATCTTTCATATTCCTGCCTGAAAACCCAAGGGGACCTGTGTGTACCACTCGGTGGTGCAGGACTGAGCTGAGCTCTGTGTGGAGTCGCCAGAGGGATTTTTCTATTCAGGCTACAGACTGTCCTTAAAGGCTTCTGTGTTTGGTATGGCACATTCCCCTCCTCTCTTGGGCCTGCCAGCTCCCAATCTGGGATTTCCTTGGCTTATTTCTCTATGTAATATGTTTTCCAAATCGAGAGTCCCCTGCTAGGGTTTGAAGCAGCAGGTGCCTGACTGCCTTCTTATAGCCCGGGAGTAAGGAACTTGGCAGCTATCTCCTGTTTGCTGTAGAGCTTTTAAACTGGTTTTCAGTTCTCAGCCTTCATGACACCCAGAAACATAGATAATTGAAGATAATCACCTTTATTTTCGACTTCATTTCATGGCCTGTACAAGAGAGAAAGTTCACCTTTGGGAACAACCTGTTTTTAGAGGTGGGAATAATGAACAGATAATATACTGGGGGTGTTCCACCGATCAGTGCCTGGAGAAGCACGTGCCATCATTCAGTGCAATTTTCTCTAAACAGTTTCGTATTTCTAAAATTGAAGCTTCCATTTTCTGTTGGATTTGATCATTTTGTTCCCTAGAAGAAGGCATTTCACATGAAACTGCCTGCTTAGTTTGAAAAGCCTGTTCAGGTCACTCAGGAATAAAAAGCAGTCTTAAAATTCTTGTGTGAAATATCCTTATTTCTTCCTATTTCCAGGGTTCTTCCTTTGTCTGCGTTTCATTTTGTTTTAATCATCACAAACAACACTATGTTAACGGTGATTTTGTTATTTATAAGTATGTGATTTTTAAAGGGGTACAAACATTACTCTCCTTTGCCCTGTCCTGTGCTCTGAATAATTCTCCAATACTTGACTGGTTTATTTAATAAGACCCGTGCAGCTTGCAGCCTTAGTATTTATCTATAAAATCATTATCCCTCTGACTCTAATGAGTAGTTAGCTGAAAATGGTGGAAGAAAAGAGAAGAAAGCTAATCTTTGCACACACGTGATTTCACTAGTGCCTGGTGTTCTTAGCATCCTGCGAGGATTATACCTTTAAGTTCCATAGAATTCAGGATCTCAAATTTGCCTTCATCCAGGTAAAACATAGCAAGATTTATAGAACTACCAGAAAGAGGTTATAATTTTTCCAGCAGACTCCGAATTGAAGTGGAAGGAAGAAAGACAGCAAAGGCAGGCAGGCAGAGAGGGTGACGGTGATCACTCAGGGAAAACAACTCAGATGAGAGGAAGCCTATTCCCTGGGCAATGTCTTTCTATGTACTGCAAAGTAACCTCTCCTCTTCCAGGGTTTGTTATAACAGGAAATAGAATATTTATAAATATTATAAATCAGACAACTCTGATTTTAGTCACACTTGTTAGCAGAAGGTATACTAAATTCTCTGGGGGCTCATTGCAAACATATCCTGATTCTTCATCTGTGTGCGTATACATCAATATCAGGAAAATGAAAATTGTTGCAGTCATGTTCAGAAGAGTCAAACACAAAATTAAGAGAAATGAATGTAAAAGAGTAAGTAGGTCCATGGTTTATATTTCCACAACCAATCTCACTGCCATCGAGTCAGTGCCAACGCACAGCGAGCCAACAGGATAGGGGAGCACTGCCCAGGTGGGTCCGTTCTGAGACGGTAACTTTTACAGGAGTAGAAAGCCCCAAGTAGAACTGGTGGCCTTGTGGTTAAAGGGTATAAGTACATAAAGGCTGTAACTACCAGCTACTCTGCGAGAGGAAGATGGGGCTTTCTATTCCCCACACAGTTACTCGGGAATAACTCACAGGGACAGAGGGTGGCTCTGAGTCGGCATCAACTGGATGAAAGTGAGTTTGAGAATGCCCCTTCTTTCTCCCACGGAACAGCTGGTTGTTTCAAACTGGTGACCTTCCGGGTGGTAGCCCAAACTATAACCACTACGCCAAGAGGTGGGTAAAATAGAGGGCTAGCAAAAAGGAGGGAAGCCCTCCCTGAGGTGGACTGCCACAAAAGACCCAGAGCCAAAGCACTGGGCTCCAACACACCAAGGGTCACGAGGAAGGTGGAGGGCATTCCTAACACACAGAGTCGCCATGCGCCCATGCTGAATCTACAACGACTAACAGCAACACGTATAAGCTGTAGAGGGCGTAACTTTGAATGCTGCCTCCTGAACATCCTAGTTGTCTGGCTTTAACCTTAATTTCTCATCTGTAAAAAGGGCATAATAACCTTTCTTGTATGATTGTTAAAAAATAAAATAAAGTGTGAAGAATACTGCCCAGCATGGTACAGAGATCATACCCCTAATGATGTTTTTCGAGTTGAACTATCACTGTCTTCTCATACTTGGAACGCCTGGAAATCTGCTTCATTCTGTTATTTCTGATGCCACCCACCCTCCAAGTGGTGGGAAACTCCATGTAAGCTCCTCCCACTGTACAACAGTACATGCATTAAAGTAGCTGTAAGCTTTATAAACCTTTTTGGACTTAATTTTAGTTATACACAATGAAATTACACTTATTTTTTCTTTTGCTTTGTGAAGTCTATATTTATAAAAAAAATAAACAAGATATATAGTTGCCTATTTCCTATTTCTTTCTATGGCTATTATGACAAACATATAATTTATCATGACACACACACACACGACACACATGCACCCCACTCTGACAGAAATTAGGAAAGGTCAGTAACACATCAGTCCATCATTAGTGTTTTGTTACATCTGAAAACACCTTTAGCCCGGACAAGTGAAAATGGCATGTGGTTTATTACCCCTACATTGAAGGCATCCTCGAGCTGAGGGTATAGCATTTCAGCTTAGCTACATAAACATTTTTAATACTTACCAGGGTTGGCAAGAATAATCTACTGGTTTGGGCACCTAGGATATAAAAAGGGAAAAATTGATTAAGTTTACTTAAGGGAAGCTTTCAGAAATCAATCATTAATTCAGCTCAGCTGAGTCAGCTCTATAAAAACCGTAAGTAGCACAGTCCTGGAACGATCCACTGGCAATTTCATACAGCGTGACTCACAGTACATGCAGATAAGTAGAAAATAATTCATTTCCCTTTAACTCATTCTTTCATTCATTTTTACTGGCACTGTACCTTCAAGAAAAGAGATGCATGGGGAAAATATGACCTGGAAGCTCTTAGTATTTATTATAAAGGCAGTTGAATTCTATCACAGAAAATTAAAACAAAAATGTTGTGAAGAAATCCAAATAGCACATTGCTTTCCTACCACATGGAGAAAGCCATTAACCAAACACCATGTACTGGGTGGAGACTTTTACTTTACAAAACAAATGTGAAACTCTGATTTTGAAGTCTACAAACTCAAAAAGCCTTTTATTAGGGGAAAAGGTTGTGGGAAATAATATTTTCCCTTTTCTCATTCCTATAAAACTTCACACATAAGAAAAAACATTGCATTTTCTCTGTAGATAAGAAAGAAAATTTCTTGAGTTGCTGATGGGAAATTCTTGAGAAAAACTAGGCGTACCGAGTGCCTTACATTCGGAATTTTTCATAAAATCTTATACCATCCTGATACATAGCAATTAATTTTGAAAGTAGATCATATCCACTCAAACCTTGCAAGAATTTTCTTATATCATGTTTTTCACACATGGAAATCAATCTTTAAGTGATTCTCTTTTGACGAGATACATGTGTTTTCTGAAATCTGATGGGAAAACTATTTCCTCTCTTATATGCTCCCTCTTTCCATACTTTAAGCATGGTTATTCCTGAGCCAATTTCTGCACAGTGCTTCCCTACAATGAAACAACCGCAAAACAAAGCAAAAACAGGCTCAGGGCCATCAAGTCAGCTCTGACTCACAGCAGCGTACAGGCAGGGGAGAAAGACGTGCCCCGACTGTTTCCAAGGCTGAAACTCCACCCAGGGCTTCTTTGCTCTCCCAGGTCGCACGGGCAGTTTCAAACTTCTGACTTTGGGTTAGCAGCCCAATAACTAACCACTATAGCACCCTTCTCTGGCTCTTTCCTCTCTCAGATTTCTCACCTGCCTTTCCGGCTGCTTTGTTACTGTTAGCTGCCATCAGCTGCCCCTGACGCATACTGACCTGATGTACACCCGGACAGAGCCCTGCCTGGTCCTGTGCCACCCTCACAATTGTTCCATTGAGCTCAATTGTTGCAGCCACCGTGCCAATCCACCCGGTGGAGGCGCTTCTTCTTCTCTGTTGACGCTCTACTAGGCATGACGTCCGTCTGTTGACGCTCTACTAGGCATGACGTCCGTCTGCAGGGGTCGGAAGAGCCTGATACTCCAACTCCTGTGGTTTCCCTGAATTCTGTACCTCGGGTGCTTCAAGGAGCAGGACTGTGGGTTTCGTATCGGATCTTCAGTCCCTCTGTATAGTGGTTGCCTTCAGGCTAGAAGGCATACCATTAGGACCTTCCCCTCGGACAATGCCCTTTCTCCAAGTTTGATCATCTTCCCTAGATTAAAGTAGCTTGAGAAGTTCAGATTTAAAACTTTTGTCAATTTGGTGAGAGTTTAGACATCAGATCATCATTTTGTATCCTATTAATTGAACACATTGTCAGCCCCCTACAAGCCTCACTCCCCCTACCCCTGCACTACTAACTCCTGTTGTGAGCTGAGACTTTAATCACCAATCCTTTGTAGGTAATCTAGCTTTTCTTTGGTTGATTTTTAATCCTTTCTCTTTTTACTTTGATGTCTTGCAGTTTTACTGAAATATATCCAATTAACGGGACTGCGTCGAATACCTCCACAGTGTTTCCAAGGCTGGAAGTCTTTATGGAAGCAAGTTGCCAAATAGCTCTCCTGTGAAGAGACCGGTCAGCTCAAATTGCCAGTTTCGGTTAGCAACCCAGTCCTTGACCACTGTGCCGAACCAAACTCAAACTCGCCTGCAGTCGAGTTGAGGCTGACGCATAGTGACCTACAGAATTGCCCCTGCGGGTTTCTGGGACTGTAACTCTTTACAGGAGTAGAAAGCCCCCTTTATGAGAATAGAAAGCCCTGTCTTCATGAATTTGAACTTCCTCTTTGGGGTTGTTAGTGTGAATTCTAGATAGAGCCTAAAGAGTTCTCAGCCATCATTTATTTGAATTGGTTCTCCATAATAATGTCTAGTCTCTCCTTCAATTAGATGTATGGGAACCTTCTTAGCCCTTCTCTGCTATGTTCTCAATTTACTCATCTCTCTGGGAAGTCATCTGAAAATTTTCCTCTGATTTCTTTTCCAATTTTCTACACAACTCCAATAGGTCATGTAATGTACCCATTAACACCATATATACTCAAGTGTGAGTGACCCAAATATCAGCCGAGGCACCTAATTTTACCACAAAGACTGCATTAAAAATGTGCTGAAAAACTGGGCTTAAAACGAGTATATATGATACCTATATCTGTTAATATTTCCATATCTTTTTATTTTTAGAAGTTCTGATTCCTTTTGAAATAACCTATTTGGGATAGTGTCTTGCTCCTATTAGACTCTTAATTCCTTTTATATTCTTTCAATCAAACTAACCATGAAAATTTTTATTTAGTATCTGATCATTTTAAAATCTGCTATCTTTATAGATCTAATTTTGGATCCTATTGTCTCTTCTGTCCTTTGTTCAAGGTGGTTTGTTTCTTCCTGAATTTAATGATTTAAAATTGTGAAATCGTGTCCCCTACAGCTTTATAAGTGAAATTCTTTGAGGACTATATGCAAAGTGGCTCAAATTCAGAGGGCCTTTTGCATGTCTCTGTATTATAATATTAAGGGCACAGTTCATGTGGAGTAGCTTTAAAGGGCCTTTTTAGGTTATAAGTAAGGGTTCCAAGTGGAGTACTGGGTATGCCTTGGGCTGCTAACCTCAAAATCAGCAGTTTGAAACCACCACATGCACCGCAGGAGGAGACGGGGCTTTCTCCCTCTGCAGAGTCACAGCCTCAGAGCTCACAGGGGCAGTGCTACCCTGTCCTTCAGGGTCGCTAGGAGTGTGTTAGATTACAATGATTTCAGCCCCACAGGTAATATGAATTTCAGTCCCACAGCTGCATGGTTTTTGACATTAAGGTCAGAAACTGTGAGGGAGGCTGCACTCTGTTTTCTGTTCCACCAAGAGCCTAGCACAAGACAAGCTTATATTCTTTGGGCGTTTTTCTTAGTTCCCCAACTAAGGGATCTTGGGTTTACACAAACTTCCCTGCGCTACAGATTCAGGCTTGCTATCATCCAGTTATCATACTGCCCAAAGCGCAGCCACCTCGTTTGTGCTCCTCCCACTTTTTCTTACGTGCCAGCGCTTTGCAGGAAATAGACAAAGCAGATATGCGAGGATGATTGGTCAGTTCAGACTGGAATATGGAGTTCTGTTCGTGGGTCCGCTGAAGGAATTTTATTTCCTTGGAGTTAATAACTTAAATACCTTTGTAGAAGAATCTACCCTAAATATCCAAATGGTGCTTAGGGTAACAAAATCATATTATCCTAACCTGCGGTTTCTAAATCTCACCAAGCACCAGAAGTATGTCTTACACTGTATTCACCCATATATTACTTGAGTCATTATTATTACTGAGTGAATATTTATTCATCCTCTTTATGTCATGTCAATATATTAAATGCTTTCAGAGCATTCTACTACGTTCCTAAATAAACAGGAATCACATACTAAAGCAAAGCAAATGCACTGAGAAGACCGATGAAAGAATGTGTGGACTTTCATTGCTGTTGAGCACACTGCCTGAAGAGGAACATCTCTCTGTAACCCAGCGCCTCAGCCACGGATCGGACCCTTGCACCCTGACCTTAGCCAGGAAAGATAACTTGTACAATGGCTAATTGGCAGCCTACATTTACTTTATTCCAAAACTCTGGGCATATTGATTTGGCTAATTATACCTTTTTCACATTTCTTAACATATTAAAAAAAAAGAAGAAAAACCTTAGAACCATGCTTATGTTGGAATTTAATAGCACCGGGCATACATTAAACCATGAAATTATTAATAAAATGAATAAGGGATCTAGCCAGCTTCCTTTATAGATTCTTGTATCATTATTCACACCATCAAAAAAAAGCACAACCCCATAAAATAAAAGACTGGCACTTACACATGGGCACGGTCTGACAGCATCACTTGGAAAAAATCCAACCTCTCCAGATGCAAAATTTCTACCCTAAATTGAGAGAAAAATTAAAAAGGCAATATTGAGAACCACGGCCACAAATGGAAATCCCTGAACAATGCTTATTTATTATCGTTACTTAGGATTCGCAGAATGACCTGCAAGTTGTACTAGACCTAAGCATTCACTTTCCACACACAGATCAGGAAGGAAAACAGGAGCAGGCAGTTTTTTACACTGTTCAGCGTTTCATGGCATTTCTGGTAATGGTCAGAAAATGAGAATTTAAGTTTGAATTTTCACTCTATCATTCATTTTTGGTAACTGCCCAGCCTTCACTTCTATACAGGGCTTGTAGCAATAGTCCACCTTCAGTTTTACAGTCACTAAGACACAAACAGCTGCTGCGATGCCCACTCACGGCGACCCTCTGTGTATCAGAGTAGAACTGAATTCCACAGAGTTTTCAGTGGTCGATTTTTCAGATGACTGGCCCTGTCTTCTCAGGTGCCTAGAATCCCCTGCCTTCTGGTTGGCAACCAAGCGTGTATACCATGTGCATTAAGAAGGAGTCCTCGCTAATACAAATAGAGTGTAAACCATACTGGTTTTGTGCAGGCTTATACGTAATTAGGAAATCAACTTAAAGGCATACTACTTCTGTTACTGAACACATGAGAACATTTCTACACTAATAATGGAAATGTTTAAAGAGGACACAATGAATTGGGAAACATAATTTTGCACAGTAAGGTTGAGATGATTTTCAAATTTGGGAGAAAGAAATAGAGCCCTGAACAAGGAAAAGGATCCCTTATGACCTTGGAGGAGAGGAGGGATCAAAGCCTTAAGAATTTGTTCTTGGAGACACCTTTGGTTCAACTCCCCTTAAAAAGACTGCATGACACCATACCTTTGTTCCTCCTTTCCCAGAAAGATAAACTATACACCAAACATATCACAGCAATCAACATACATAATTACTAGGTTCTTATGAGATTATTTCTTTTTGTTCAGAACTTAGCCATTCATTTTTTTAATTTAATAATTACCTATGTATTGGTATCTCATACAGGTAAATAGTTTTATGATCGAGTATTACATGCTGCATTATTATTTTACTTAAACAAAAAGGGTTATGAAAATGCCTCCCTCGCAGGGAGGAGATGAACC